GAGCTCACCCCAGTGGTCTCATGCACCTATTTTATAGTCTCTTTCCCTAAGCTTTGCTTGGCTCAGTTCTCAAGTTATGAATATTTGATTCCACCCATCATTCACCATTTTCTAACAATGTACAGCTAATAAGAATCTGAAAATAGTAAGCTATGTAATTGCTTAAATAAATGTATATAGTTACAGCATACCCTCCTAGGTAGCAAAGAAGATGTACTAAATCGAATAGAAAGGCTCTGTTTAGTTGTAAATCAACATATTTTAGTAGTTACATTCTCACTGGTTGATATATCTTTTTTTAGAAAATAACTGAAGAACAAATAGAAAAGTTGACTAAAATGATGATTTAAATCAAGGCTTTCCACATGGTGATTTAAATCAATCCATCTTGCCGCTGATGGCTAAATTTCAACTATAGAGAAGGCCTCAGGCTTGACGGCCAGATTCCAGTCCACACTGGCTGTAAATCTTAAATCCATTGACTGCAGCAGAATACTATCAGATTTCTAGTGGGGCAAATGAAATCATGATCCAGCACAATGCCTTTAAAACACAGTAAAATGAATCAAAAATTCCAGTGACATTATAGAAGTGGGGCCCTAACTTGGAAATGCTGATAGTGCTAGAAAAACATGCTGAATGCTATGTATTAACTGTCTCTGTGGCTGCTGTTGAAGGAATTGTCTTGTTCCTCCTCTAATATGCAAACACTTAATTATCTAATTTTTAGCCAAACTTAATTTTTCTATACTCTGAAAAGCTTTAAACTATATGCAATCCTCTTCTCCTCCTCCTTACAAAACAAAAAATAAAAAATAATTTAAAAAAAAATTCTCCTTTTCCCCTCCCCTTTTTTATTTTTTACACTGAGCTGTTGTGTGGATTATTTGCCTTGGGATCTGACATTGCTCATTCGTTACAGAACACCTAAAAACCAAGTACGTAGGCAAAATATTTGGAAAGCTGGCACTCTTTACAGGGTGTGGTGAAGACAAATATCTTTCATGTGTGCTGCCAAAGGGCCGGGGTGTGACCTGAAAAAGACATCCTACTTCTCTCATTGTAACATGTATTTTGGAGGAGGAAGTGGGTGGTATTAAACTGCTCCATCATGTTTCTATGTCTGACCTATTTTATAATATGATCTAAAAAATTTTGCATGCGCAAAATTCAAGCCTAATGAGAGGAGAGTGTTACAGGTATAAACCCAAACACATTATCAGATGTCTAGCTTTTTTAATGGTAAAATTAAACAAGACTTAGTGTTAATGTGGGGAGATGGTGCTCTGATGTCTCTCAAACCCATATGTGGGACCTGAATTGGGAGGAGACCAAGTTAGCCTTAATTGTGTCTTGGCGTGGAGCAGGTTTGTACCTAAATCTGCAGAGGAGGTTTCAATGCTTATTATTGTTGGGGAGTCTGGAGTATTGCCTTGACATGTCAAATCTCTCTAACTAGTATTGAGTAGAGCTCACTTTCTAAAATTTGGGATTGAGTCACTACGACAAACATGTTTTAGCCTTAGGCTAGGTCTACACTAGAAACTTGTCAGAAAAGCAGTGTTGGTAAAGGATACCCCTTTTTTTGGCACTTCTGAACTGCCCAAAGTCCAAGTGTAGATGCAGTTATACCAACAAAAAAGTGCTTTTGCTGATACAGTGTTTTTTGTTTTTGTTTTTTTCAAGGAACTGGTATAAACTATACCGGCAAAACAAATCTCTTTTGTTGATCTAAGATGTGTCTATGCTAGGAGGGTTTGCTGGTCTACCTATAGTTTAGTTATAGCTTAGTCTTTCTGGTGCAAAGTGATAATCCGGGAAGGAAGGTGTTTGTTTGTTTGTTTTTTTAAGTGAGAAATTGTAGGTATTTATTTCTTGATTTTTGTTTTTTGCCATCCTACAATAGCTTTGTAGGCATTTTTATGAAGCTGGGTGGTTTTCAATGTGAGATAAAGTAGCTGAGAATTTTTCACTGTTCAAAGAAAAGGAGTATTTGTGGCACCTTAGAGACTAGCAAACTTATTTATTTACTGTTCAGTTTCAAAGACAAGATTTATTTCTTATTGTAACCTATCGAAGGTAAAATAACTCGCCATGAAGACTGCGCCCCAGACTTCCTTATTGTAATCAGTGGAGGTACACAAGAATAGGGCAGTACTCTTCAAAAAGGCTGAAATTGCATCTCTTTTTTGAGAGTGTGGAGCCTTTGCAGACATAATATCTATGTCCTCCACTTAGGCTGCTTTTTGTGTGTGTGTGTGTGTGTGTGTGTGTGTGTGTGTCATTGAGGAACATGCCAGCATTCTGAAGGTTAAAACTGTATTATAACTGGTGTTACTACTATAGAAATATATACTGCTATCTTGTTACTGTCAGTTCACAATAAGTAAGCTATGCATTTTATTCATATTTTTTCCCCTTTCACAAATGTGTCTGACTTGGTTGGATATTGGAGACACAAGATGAGTGACGTAATATCTTTTATTGGACCAACTTCTGTTGGTGAGAGAGACAGGCTTTGGAGCCACACAACACTCTTCTTTAGGTCTGGGAAAGGTATTCCCAGTGTCACAGCACTATGGAAGGTGGATATGTCATTAAGTAAAATGTTTATTTCTAGATGTGCCTAGAAGGATCAAACTTAAATTGACCAAGAGTAATGTCACTTTGAGTTTTACTGATTTGAAATTGTATGAATCTGCTGAACTCATTGTATACCCTTGGTTGTGAATGTGTGGTTCTGGTCAACTTCAGACTTTTCCTTAAACATGGGCCTTTTCTTTTCATCTGAAGTACTCCTTTATATATGTGAATTGTTATATGTTTACTAAACAGCTGTCATTCTGTTTTTTCATATTGTCTTTTTCATATTGTTTTTCAAGAGCAGATTCTGGATTTGCACATCTGATATCACACACTTTTTTTGGCTCATTTTTTCAGATATCCTACATGCACTGTGGCTTCGTAACAGGAAGACGGGATTTCATAATTTTATTTATTTATGGGTATCTATATATAATTGCGCACACAACATTTTGTATTTATTACTGAATAAATAGGAAGCAACTTCATGGTATTATACTGATATTAGAAATTAAGCACTGTATTCAAATTTTAAGTGAAAGTAGGGAAAACAAATTCTCAAAATACCCTAATAAAATATGCTCTCAACCTGTTGCAAATTAAATGGTTTAAGAAAATAGTTTAAAAAAATCCTCTTAACCTTTCTCCCTTATTTTTCTTCTTCCTCTTATAGAAATCTCTCTCTCCACTTCAGTCAGCAGGGCTCTTCTCCCCAGGATAACAATATACTTTTGCTTACACTGTTTTCAAAGGTGAATTTGGAGCAAGAGGCTGTACTTACTCCCAGGGCATACAATGTAATAACAAATATTGCAGCTATTCTGGTAGGGAAAAAGATTGGTGCTCTGGAAGGGGAGGGCCGAGTTGAGAAGTGGACAAACAAAAACTCCACTTTACCCCTTCTTCCTTACCCTAATTTCCCTTTTTACTGTTTGATACAATGTTTTCTTTGCTGTTTTGATATGTTGGGGTGTTATTTTGTTGTTGTTGTTGTTGTTTTTTTTTTGCCTTGCATGTAAATCTTAGTGTTGTATTTCCTTAAGTTAACATAAGAAAAGCTGAAGCAGTCTTATCTGTTGATGCCAAACAACTCCAAAGTTCGGAGAATTGTATAGGAGCCAATCAGAGAAAAGACCTTTGCCTATTCCCAAATTAGAGACTGAAACAACCAAACTGCAATTATGTAAATCAATGCATGCTGGTTTGCTAATAACAGCTGTCAGCCTCCCCAATCACTTAGATATGTGACTATGCAGCAGGTATGCAACTCAGACACTCGGAATAAATCAGTGTCCTGGGAATTTTAATTAAATATCTGCTATTCTACCATCCGTGTGTACTTACTGGCTGAAACATCTCTATTTAAACAATTTCAAAATCTTTTAAAATTAAATTACAGAAATTCACAGTTAAGCACAGCCCAGCCTCCATACCTATACCTACCTTTTTTTCACACACTGAGAACAAATAGAAATTCCAAGACCACTTTATCTATCACATAAATTAATTAAGATTAAAAGTAAGCTATTAACATTTTTGTGCTCACTGATAAAGTTAACCTGTCTAATGGATAGATAATGTGGTCTAATTGTTTCCAGTTGTCCTCAGGGTAGAATATGGGGATAGAATTAAGGTTGAAAGGGGTATATTCAGTGTGCATTTGCATGGTTCTGAATAGATATATGTTTCTGGGCTTCTTATATTTGTACTTTTTCTCTAAAACATAATCGCCCATTCTGTAAAAGTACAATGTTCTCAAGATTTTTTTTTTTTTCTGTTCTTGTTTTTTGGATTTGGGCTGAAGTAAGTGATTTCAGGTTAACCATTATTATGGCCTGAAACAGGACACTGTTTAAGACAGTCGTACATTTGGTTAGCTCTGAAACCTCTAAACAGCACTGTCTCATTAATAGGAGGGTTTCTGTGTGAAGTCCATACAATGAAGTAGGGTGGGTTCTGATGCTAAGATCAGCACTAGTGGAGTCCCTAGGCGTGCCCCGCTCCCCTGAGCACCCAGGTTTTAGTCAGGGGTATATAGTACAAGCCATGGACAGGTCACAGGCTGTGAATTTTTGTTTACAGCCTGTGACCTGTCCATTACTTTTATTAAAAATACCTGTGACTAAAATGTAGCCATAATCATGATTACTGGTTAATCGGACTAGCCTCTTAAATTATATTAACCTAATTTCTCCAACATAGCTGGTATAAAGTCTGTTTGTTATATACATTACATCTAGATTCCGATCCCCTCACCCTGTTGGAATGCTCAGGTATCTGTGTAGGATATCATAAAAATACCTTTCTTCTAACAATATCCTGGTACCTTGCTTTGAGAGCTTCTGCAAGGAAGTACTACCCATGATGTTTTGGTAATCAGATACTGCGGACTCATTGGTTATTGTTTTTCCCCCCAGAACAAAATTGAACTATAATCCTCCAAAGGATGATGGATCTACATATAAGATTGAACTCGAAGGGATCTCTGTTGAAATCATGAGAGAGATACTGGATTACATCTTCAGTGGGCAGGTACGGTGCTTAACAGAATTATTGCATCTCTCTCTGTCTAATTCAGCAGTACCATTTAGAGATAAACCCCTGCTTTTTGTCTTATCCTGTCATCCAAAAAAGGCAGTAATAGTGAACTTTGTGCTTTAAGTCTTTGCTATGAAATGACTTCTGTACGCCAGAATGCAGGCTACTGGTATGAACCAAAAATAGATTGTAAGCACTTCAGATGTGCTTCTCTTGCTCTGCTTAATGTCATGTATCCCAAGAAACAAACTTTAAACAATAAACGTTAAACTTAAAAAAACCCACAAAAAAGAAAAACCCTACTAGTTTCTTCACTGAGTTGGTTTTAAAGCATGTGTGATTTGATACTTGTGAAAGGTGTCTGGATTGGGAGACTGAAGACCTTCCCACAGAACATTTTCTATCTGGGCAGTCCACGCTTCCCACCTCATTGCCTTGCCGATATCCATCAACTCCAGCCATTTAAGGCTGGCAAAGTTCTATTTGTCTCCACAGCCGTTCAGTCCTCCCTAGTCCCTACTAAGACTCCCAGCAAAACTCAGATTAAAATCCACTTTTGTCCATCAGGAACCAGACTGACATTGCCAAATTAATTTCAAACAGGTCTTCAGACAGGCATCAGGTGGCATCGGCTCTTGGTTAGCTGAAACCATTTTTTTAAAAATAGTTTCATCATCAAGGCCACAATAAAGAAGAAAAAAGTGCATTTGGGGCTGTAATGTCTCTTTTCTGCGTGTACTGATTTGTCTTACCAGCAAAATATAGTTCATTTTCCCAGATGAGTTTACCAATTTCATGGTTCCTTCAGACAAAACACCCCTTCAGATGCCCTCTACCCAGCTTTCACCCTCCCTCTCCCCAGTTAAGTTGCCCACCAGCAGTGGCTTTATCCTTCTGCATGGTAGTTTCGAATCATCCTCTACACCTGTGTTATATTCCATTACTCAGCCACTAAGGGCAAGTCTGCACTGAAGCCTACATTGGCGCAGCTGCAGCGCATCTGGTGAAGACAAGGTATGCCGACAGGAGAGCACTCTTCTGTTGGCATAATTACTTCACCTCCATAAGGTGTGGACAGCGCTTACATGGATGTAATTTACGTCACTTAGGGGGCTGTCTTTTTCATACCCTGGGTAAGTGTGAACATCAACGTAAGTGATAGTGTAGACCAGCCTTAAGAATCAGTTATAAAGTTTGAGCATAAACTTTTGTGAGCTACAGCTCACTTCATCATGAAAGCTTATGCTCAAATAAATTTGTTAGTCTCTGAGGTGCCACAAATACTCCTTTTCTTTTTGTGAATACAAACTAACACGGCTGCTACTCTGAAACCAGTTATAAAGTTATATCAGACAGAATTGTGAATTGTAGTTGTAACTTTTTACAACAAACTCTTGCAGATCAGGCTAAATGAAGACACTATCCAAGATGTTCTGCAGGCAGCTGATCTCCTGCTTCTTACAGATCTTAAAACTCTCTGCTGTGAGTTTTTAGAAGGTTGTGTAGCTGCTGAGAACTGTATTGGTATTCGAGACTTTGCACTGCACTATTGTTTGCATCACGTTTACTACCTTGCCTCGGAGTATCTGGAAACTCACTTCCGAGATGTCAGCAGCACAGAGGAGTTCCTGGAACTGAGTCCCCAAAAACTGAAAGAAGTGCTATCCCTGGAAAAGCTGAATGTTGGAAATGAAAGATATGTATTTGAAGCAGTAATTAGATGGATCTCCCATGATTCAGAATTAAGAAAGGTTAGGATGCACTAAATTAAGTAGTCTGTTTAGTAAATTGGGCCCACATTCTATGCTTGTTTAAAGTTCCCTGATGGGAATACAGTGTAGATAAATTTTCTTTTTCCTGTATTCTTGCATTTCTAGGATTTAGATATTACACTGTGTATATAGATGGAAAGTAGATTGGGGCTGTTGAGCTGAAGTCTTGCTTATACTGTAGCTGCATCCCTTCTTATTGCAGATAAAAACACTGAATGAAGTTGTTAGTCTTTGTGTGTTTGATGTATGAGCTTATTGTTGGGTGAGGGGAAGTAACCATTGTTTGCCACAAGACCTAGAGACTTAAACTGTGCTTACTAAAATAGTTTTATTTAGAAAGTTGTTTTATCCATAAAATATTTTTCAGTATTTTCTGTGTATAAAATAAATACATCACATAAGAATTCTCTTGAAGCTATATTCTAAAGTATGGTGAACAAAATTCTGTTTTTTTAAACTGTTCTGGAAATATTGAATTTTTCTGGTTCTCTAGGTTCACCTGAAGGATGTCATGTCAGCAGTGTGGGTTTCAGGATTAGATTCAACTTATTTGCGTGAGCAGATGATGAGCGAACCACTGGTACGGGAGATTGTCAAAGAATGTAACAACATTCCACTTACTCCACCACAGCAGGGGGAGGCAATGTTAGCCTCTTTCAAGCCCAGAGGTTATTCTGAGTGTATAGTGACTGTTGGTGGTGAAGAAAGAGTGTAAGTATTCAGTATGTTACTGACAGAAATGACTTGCACTATTTAAGCAATTAGTGGGACGATGGTAACTTTCATAAAAATTATATCATATTGCCTCTATATAAATCCATGGTACACACACATCTTGAATTCTGCATGCAGATGTGGTTGCCACATCTCAAAAAAGATATACTGGAATTGGAAAAGGTTCAGAAAAGGGCAACAAAAATGATTAGGAATGTGTAACAGCTTTCATATGAGAAGAGATGAAGAAGACTGGGACTTGTCAGCTTGGAAAAGAGATGACTAAGGGGGGGATATAATAGAGGTCTATAAAATCATGACTGGTGTGGAGAAAGTAAGGAATTTTTTATTTGCTACTCCTCCTAACTCACGAACTAGGGGTCACCAAATGAAATTAATAGGCAGCAGGTTTAAAACAAACAAAAGGAAGTATTTTTTCACACGACACAGTCAGTCTGTGCAACTCCTTGCCAGAGGATGTTGTGAATGGTTACTTCCCCAAGACTATTAACAAGGTTCAAAAAAGAACTAGATAAGTTCATGGAGGATAGGTCCATCAATGGCTATTAGCCAGGATGGGAAGGGATGATGTCCCTAGCCTCTGTTTGCGAGAAGCTTGGAATGGGTGACAGGAGATGGATCACTTGATGATTACTTGTTCTGTTCATTCCCTCTGGGGCACCTGGCATTCATTGGCCACTGTCAGAAGACAGGATACTGGGCTAGATGGACCTTTACTCTGACCCAGTATGGCCAGTCTTATGTTCTTACTAATGATAAAGAAGTGAAGTTAATATTAGCCCATTTAGTGCTGAATTAATTGGGCACATTTACAAAACTTGTTTTTTAGCATGGTTAGATGTGCCTAGAACACCCTGATGTTTGATCCATTTTAGAATGTCAAATTTCTTCAGTGAATGAGCTACTTAACTTAAACCTCTGAAAATCCATCTTTATTTGTATTTTAATACTTGTTAAATATTTAGCATTATCATAGTCCTTAGACACCATACAAACAAAAACTATTCTAATCAAATGTAATCATAAGTCCATTGATTGGCTGAGTGAGGTTTCTGAGAGTCCTTATAATAGCAGTGTGGTTCCATAGCAAACTTTGGATTAAAACAGTGTTGATAGTTGTTGTGTCTTCGGCTTTCTGCCTCACTTTTTGTGGTGCCATATGCTGGTGCCAGAAAAATTTCGTTCAGACTTGTAAACTGAGTGGGTTTGATGTGAAAGTCCTGAATAAGAATAAATATGGAACACCAAAAGTAACACTTACTTTACAGGGTTTTTTTTTTTTCAGATCAGTGTTACATTTTAATAAAATATCAAATCTCTGCTTTAGCATCAGGACCTACCTGCAGTGCCAAAGTAGATTCTTTGTTTGTTACATTGCAATTTAAGGTGACAATGTCCATTCTCCTTTCCTTTTTCAAGTATTTTGTGGGGTTGGGAGGAGGGAATTGTTCTTTGCTGACCCTGCTCTGACCTTAACTCACTATTGATAAAAACTCAGTAACACATCCTGTTCAGTTACATTTAAAACTCATTCTACTGGGAGAAGAAATACTAATGTTCTCTGATAGTATACTCTGCTTTTTATATAAAATTCCTCATTGGCTAGGGCCATATCTAATTACCTTGCATCACATATTCTCCCCACCTCCCTCCCTCTTGCTTGTATGCTTACAAACTTAGATTGTAAGCTCTTTTGTGCTGGGACCATGTCTTTGCGGTATTTTCCAGATGCACACGTTTATGAATCTATACTTGATTGAGCAAGCAATTTTAGTGACCCTGCATTGTAAGTATTCATTCATACATATATAAAATAGAACATCTGTATTTCCTCCTTTTTCAGGTCACGGAAACCAACAGCTGTGATGCGATGCATGTGCCCTCTTTATGATCCTAATAGGCAACTCTGGATTGAACTTGCCCCTATGAGTATTCCAAGAATCAACCATGGAGTACTCTCAGCAGGTAAATGACAGCATGTTACTTTAAGCCAATGGAGTGTAAACTCACCAGATTGTCAAAATGGGGTATAGTTTGTAATGTAGTTTGCTTTCTTAGAGCAAGCTGCACTCAAGCCTGTTGTTTCCCCCACCCGCCTTCCCCCAGTTTGCTGCTTTGTTTTGTGAGGATTCCCTCTGATGGAATCATAATTTGATATTTTGTTGGAGTCTGCTGAATCTGTCGCTATGGGAATGTTTTACTCAAGTAACCACACTATAACTTCAGTAGTGTTGCACTGGATACACCAGTGCTGAATTTGCCTGTAGAGTCTGCACTGGTGGGTTAAACCACAGGGAAAAGTACATCCTTTGCCAGTCTGGAGTTCAATAAGGCATTTTTAGGAACCCGTGATTTCCAAGATGTAGCTCAATGCCCTGTGACAAGTATTGGTGTGACTTCCATTTTAAAAACTTCACATGCACTTTGTTTTACAGAAGGATTTTTGTTTGTACTTGGAGGTCAAGATGAAAATAAGGAAACTCTGAGCTCTGGAGAAAAATATGATCCTGATACCAATTCATGGAGTTCCTTGCCAGCAATGAACGAGGCAAGATCACTATCCAACTGTATGGGGGTTTATTTTTCCTTTGAAAAATACAGGATGGATGGCGTAGCAGTTAGACCACTAGCTTAGGACTTGGAAGATCCCTGCTCTGCCAGAAACTTCTACTGTGACCTTGGGCAAGTCTCTTGGCCTCTCTGTACCTCAGTTCCCGGTCTGTAAAATGATGATGATAGTAATTCCCTACCTAACAGGAATGTTGTAAGGATAAATACATTAAAAGATTTGGAGGCACTCAGATGCTATGTTGATGAGGTTCATTATAAGTACCATGGACAGATGGTACTTATAGGATGAAGTATATAGGTCAGACCAATTTGATTTTCCAGCTGCTTGCACCTGATCCAACCAAAGCCATGGTGCAGATTTTTTTTCTTGTATATTTCCTAGATGCCAAGCTTGGATTAGTAATAACTGCAGCTGCTGGAAAACATTGGTTGTTACTGAAGAACTAGCTATGGAGCTGAGCTGTAGAATTCCTTATGAACTCTGGTGGTTGGTTCTGTTCATGAAGTAACCCATTAGAGTTTATTGGCCTTTTAAAAAAAAAATGTGTATATATAAAAATAGTATTGAGAATCTAACATGATGAGAGGATTGGACCATGCAGAAGGATGGGCAGGAAATGGGGGCAGAGCAACACATAGATAGTGTCTAGAACCTTATCATAAACTTGCCAGCTTGGCTTCGTGGGTGGGGATGGGGGGTTCTTTTTTCATGTTTTAGCTGCCATCAAAAAGTGACTATTCCAATTTTTATGAATTTAGGTCCTGAAAGTCACATTTATGGGGTGTTGATTTTTTTAAGCAGGTATGGGATTTTATTTTATTTAAGAAGTTGATTGTGCTGCAGAATTTTCTTCACCATAGGCCTCCTATTAAATAACTTATCCTTGCACCTGAGAAGATCTTAGCATAGCTCTTTTGGTGATGATGGTGGAACCTGTAGCAGTGTTTTTACAGCCTACTTTGAATAAGGTTAGAGAAAACGTGTTTAAAAATACTTGTACTCAGACTAAACTACAGGTTCCACCACTGCTACCACCCAGAGAGCTGGACCAATGGGGAATTATGGGTGCAGATTGTTTGTTTGCAGCATTGATTGGCCAGACCTGGTCACTGGAAGGGGAAATTCTTGCTTCCGGATTAGTTGAAGAATGGAGTATGGTCCATAGCTCAGATACTTGAATACTAAAGAAACATGCTACAATTCACTTGCTGAACCTCTGTTTTAACATAATGCTCTTATTTGTCCTGTATTATGTTCTTATATTAAATTAGAGAATTAAAAGCTTGCTCTGGAGATTGATATTTTGCATCATGACTTTTTTTTTTTTAAACAGAGGTGATCTGAGTTACAAACTTCTGCAGAAAGAAAAGGAGTACTTGTGGCACCTTAGAGACTAACCAATTTATTTGAGCATGAGCTTTCGTGAGCTACAGCTCACAACATCTGATGAAGTGAGCTGTAGCTCACGAAAGCTCATGCTCAAATAAATTGGTTAGTCTCTAAGGTGCCACAAGTACTCCTTTTCTTTTTGCGAATACAGACTAACACGGCTGTTCCTCTGAAACTTCTGCAGGTAGGGCAAGTGTTAAAAATGATTACACAACAATTACTGCTGTAAATATGCTACTACAGTGTTTATTGGTGTCTCCTATAGGCACGACATAATTTTGGTTTGGTAGAGATTGATGGAATTCTGTATATTCTGGGAGGTGAGGATGGAGAAAGGGAGCTATGCTCTATGGAGTGTTATGACATTTATAACAAGACCTGGACCAAGCAGCCAGATCTGACCATGGTTAGAAAGGTAAGAGAACTTTATCATAATTTAGAAAAGCATTATTGTTAAACTCTCTTTTTAAAGTCCCTATTCAAATACTTGCACTGTTTATGTTACAGCTTTTACTTGAAGTGAATATTTCTCAATGAAAATAATATGGGGGTGGAGTGGGGGGAGCAAAGGAGTCTCTCTTCTCTTAATTTATATATCAAAGCAAAATGTTTTTCTAGACCAAATTTTTATAGACTTTGCTGTTTGAGATGCAGTTTGGGTAAACCAAATGTCCTTTTCTTTCCATAGCTTTCATCGTTCCCTTAGATGCAAAATTCATCAATGGTGATTAATTTTAAAATGAAAGAAGGAACCTGTGCTGGGCTTTTTTATGCATGTTGTTTACTTGTTTAATGATACTGCCCTTTCAAAATAATGTAAAATCTTATTTCATTTGGTCTGATCTCTTTTATGTTATTACTAAAAATGAATAAACTTGAAGAAAAACTAGTGCAACTACATCAGTCTGACTAATGAAAATTTGAAAGCTAATATATCCTACAGCTAATTCATTGGCTTTATTTTGTAAGCAAAATGTTGGTAATGCATTTTTGTGCAGTCAATACATTTTGTTGAAGAGAACCTCAGGAATCATTGTAAGAAGGTATAATAAATGGAAATAAATGAGTTTAAAATTTAGGCATCACTGTACAAACTGAACTGCAGCCCAATGTGAAAATTGCTTTACCTTCACTCTTGCTGTACTTTTTTCCCTTTGGACAGAGATTAATAAGCTAACGGACTGTTATTTATGGTTATCTATCCATAATAAGTCTTATATTTTTTAGCTAATTATAAGGGGCAGTTTTAGGGGATACTTGTTCTACTGTTTCTACAGAGTAATTCTAAGTGAAAATGGGGTGTGTAACTCAATGTGAACTTGTTTTCTTTTCTTTTCCAAGCAAATACAAATGTTGTTCTTTTGCTGAAAACTAGAAATTCAGTATTATTTATTTATTGTTAGAAATTGCTTCCTTACTGCTCAGACTGTGTTGTATTAATGAGACTGGCTGACTACTGAACAATGAATTTATTGCCACTTTTAGAACACAGAACATTGTCTGTTTAAGGTACTATAGATTTCAACTTCTGATTTTTCTTTTTTTTAAAGATTGGCTGCTATGCAGCTATGAAGAAGAAAATCTATGCCATGGGCGGAGGCTCCTACGGAAAACTGTTCGAATCTGTTGAATGTTACGACCCTCGGATTCAGCAATGGACAGCCATCTGTCCACTAAAAGAGAGAAGGTGAATAAGATGCACATGCACATCCAGGTTACAAGGACTCTTGTTTATCATTTAAAACCAAAAATGATATGGATTTAAAAACATGGTCCAAACCCACTTATTTTTAAAAAAACGAATCCAATTGTTAATGTTAATTTCAGTGTGGCTGTGTGCGTGTCTGACATTAGTATATGTTTACTAGTTAACAGCTGTTTTAACACTAAGGCCCGGGTCATTTGGTAAGTTGAGGCTGTTTTGTGCCATTCTGGTAATGCAAAGCAGTCCTGAAGTTGGCAAAAGTGGCCTGAAGGTGGATTCCGTGTGTCTCACTTAATTGTCGGGTGGTGTGAAGCTGTCATAGTAGCTGCTGCTTCAGATGTAGTGCTGGAGAGGTGGGATGGGAAAGGGGATAGCCAGGGCACCATTGTGTAGGCCCCAGTGATTTCTGGCTGCTGACACAGTCCTTTGGTTCTCCTATTGCTACTGCAATTTAGAGCAGTATTCTCAGACAACTCCATGGTCAAAGCCACCTTTGACCCCTTTGCTCCTAGAAGCATTGGATACTTCTCAGTTGCAGCTGAGGATCTGTGGCCAAAGATAGTTGTTTCATGTAGACTCCCTATGTTGCAAGAATTACTGCTATTATACAGGATGAAAAACATAAATGGTATTGTGTCAGTATTACAATTCATACTGAATTTGAACTTAGATCTTTGTCTCCAAAGAGATACTCTGCTGCTCTATTATTTTGTACAATGACTTATGAGCGGTTTTAAATATTACTTCATATTTGATCTAATTCTGCTGAATATGGAAGAGCTAGAGAATTGTGCTAGGGCATGGACAGGGTGATGGGTGTATATATGTTAAATATTCTTTGTTTCCTTCTCCTTTTGCCTCTCAGATTTGGGGCAGTGGCATGTGGAGTTGCCTCAGAGCTTTACGTGTTTGGTGGAGTCAGAAGTCGTGATGATAATCAGGCCAGTGAGATGGTGACATGCAAATCTGAATTCTATCATGATGAGTTTAAAAGGTAAGTAGTTCTAGGAGTAGACCTAGAAAATCTCTAACTCCGCTCCTACTCTTTTTTTCTCTCCTTGTGGTATAATAGAGCATTGCAGTTCATGTAATTTTTCAACAAATGCCAATTATTCTTTTTCCTCTTACCTCAAACAAACTGACCTAGATATTTCTAACTGTGGTATCAATTTTACCAAAGGAAGTGGCTGTTAGCAAGGTAATGGCTATGCATAATTCCTGGTTGTTCATAACTTACAAGGTGTCAAGGTTCCTCCCCCACTCTGAACTCTAGGGTACAGATGTGGGGACCTGCATGAAAAACCTCCTAAGCTTATCTTTACCAGCTTAGGTCAAAACTTCCCCAAGGTACAAAATATTACACCCGTTATCCTTGGAATGGCCGCTACCACCACCAAACAATTACTGGTTACTGGGGAAGAGCTGTTTGGACGCGTCTGTCCCCCCAAAATACTTCCCAAAACCTTGCACCCCCTTTCCTGGACAAGGTTTGGTAAAAAGCCTCACCAATTTGCCTAGGTGACTACAGACCCAGACCCTTGGATCATAAGAACAATGAACAATCCTCCCAACACTTGCACCCCCCCTTTCCTGGGAAATGTTGGATAAAAAGCCTCACCAATTTGCATAGGTGACCACAGACCCAAACCCTTGGATCTGAGAACAATGAAAAAGCATTCAGTTTTTACAAGAAGACTTTTAATAAAAAATAGAAGTAAATAGAAATAAAGGAATCCCCCCTGTAAAATCAGGATGGTAGATATCTTACAGGGTAATTAGATTCAAAACATAGAGAACCCCTCTAGGCAAAACCTTAAGTTACAAAAAAGACACACAGACAGAAATAGTTATTCTATTCAGCACAATTCTTTTCTCAGCCATTTAAAGAAATCATAATCTAACACATACCTAGCTAGATTACTTACTAAAAGTTCTAAGACTCCATTCCTGTTCTGTCTCTGGCAAGAGCAGCACACAGACAGACCCTTTGTTCCTCTCCCTCCTCCCAGCTTTTGAAAGTATCTTGTCTCCTCATTGGTCATTTTGGTCAGGTGCCAGCGAGGTTACCTTTAGCTTCTTAACCCTTTACAGGTGAGAGGAGCTTTCCCCTGGCCAGGAGGGATTTCAAAGGGGTTTACCCTTCCCTTTATATTTATGACACGCCCCCCAAATCTCAGCTAGGGTGAAACACTGGCTGGGATTTCTTCCTGGAGCTCTAGGAAAACAGAGTTAATAAGACACATGCATCTCTAAATATACTACCAAGTACATAAAGACTAACAATATTTTCCACATCTCAAGGACGATTTTAACCAGTTGATTCTGGGAAACTTTCACGGGAGAGTGCATCAGCCACTTTGTTAGAAGCTCCTGAGATGTGTTGGATGTCGAAATCAAAATCTTGGAGAGCTAAACTCCACCGAAGAAGTTTTTTGTTAGTTTCTTTGACGGTGTGAAGCCACTTCAGTGCAGCATGGTCGGTTTGCAGGTGGAAACGCCGTCCCCAAACATATGGGCGTAGCTTTTCCAGAGCATAGACAATGGCATAACATTCTTTTTCAGTGACTGACCAGTTGCTTTCCCTCTCAGACAGTTTTTTGCTGAGAAACACTACAGGGTGGAATTCTTGATCAGGTCCTTTCTGCATTAAAACTGCTCCCACACCACGCTCGGATGCATCTGTGGTTACTAGGAACGGTTTGTCAAAGTCTGGGGCCCTTAGTACAGGGTCAGACATGAGTGTCGCTTTATGCTTGTTAAAGGCCTTCTGACACTTTCCGGTCCACTGAACAGCATTTGGCTGTTTCTTTTTGGTTAGGTCTGTCAGTGGGGCAGCGATTTGGCTGTAGTGCGGTACAAATCGTCTGTAATAACCGGCCAAGCCTAAGAAGGATTGAACCTGTTTCTTTGACTTTGGGACAGGCCACTTTTGGATAGCATCCACTTTGGCCTGTAGGGGGCTGATAGTTCCTTGACCCACCTGGTGTCCAAGGTAAGTCACTCTGTTTAGGCCTATTTGACACTTCTTAGCCTTAACAGTTAGTCCTGCCTCCCTTATGCGCTCAAGGACTTTTTGTAGATGTTCCAGGTGGTCTGCCCAGGAATCCGAAAATATGGCCACGTCGTCAAGGTAGGCGACTGCATATTCTCCTAATCCCGCTAGGAGACCATCTACAAGTCTTTGGAAAGTGGCGGGTGCATTTCGCAGCCCGAAAGGGAGTACATTAAATTCATACAGCCCGAGATGTGTGATGAAGGCTGACCTTTCCTTGGCAGATTCGTCTAGCGGTACCTGCCAGTACCCCTTGGTTAAGTCCAAGGTAGAGATGAACTGGGCCCGTCCCAGTTTCTCTAATAGTTCATCTGTGCGTGGCATTGGATAGTTGTCTGGGCGAGTTACAGCATTTAGCTTACGGTAGTCCACGCAAAAACGTATTTCCCCATCTGGTTTGGGAACTAGAACCACTGGAGATGCCCATGCACTTTCAGAGGGGCGGATTACCCCCATCTGTAACATATCCTGGATCTCCCGTTCTATAGCAGTTTTAGCTTGAGGAGACACCCGGTAAGGTTGAACCCTAATTGGGTGAGCATTACCTGTGTCAATGGAGTGGTATGCCCGTTCAGTCAGTCCTGGGGTGGCTGAGAACGTTGGCGCGTAGCTAGTGCACAGCTCCTGGATCTGCTGTCGCTGCATACGCCCAAGGGTCATGGAGAGGTTCACCTCTTCCACACCACCAGCACATTTCCCTTCGTAGTAAACACCTTCAGGCCACTCAGCGTCGTCTCCTCCCTGGGCTGTAAACTGACAAACCTTTAATTCTCTGGAATAAAAGGGCTTTAGAGAATTAATATGGTACACCTTAGGCTTTCGGTTGGAGGTGGGGAATGCTATGAGATAATTAACAGCTCCCAGGCGCTCCTGGACCGTGAATGGCCCTTCCCACGATGCTTCCATTTTATGGGCCTGGAGCGCCCTTAAGACCATGACCTGGTCTCCTACTTTGAAGGAACGCTCTCTGGCATGTTTATCATACCAGGCTTTTTGTTCTTTTTGAGCATCCTGTAAGTTTTCTCTAGGAAGGGCTAAAGAGGTTCGGAGGCTGTTTTGTAGGTTGGTTACAAAGTCCAGAATGTTAGTTCCTGGAGAAGGTGTAAATCCCTCCCATTGCTGCTTCACCAACTGCAATGGCCCCTTAACCTCACGGCCATATACAAGTTCAAATGGGGAAAACCCTAAACTGGGATGTGGTACAGCTCTGTAGGCAAAGAGCAACTGCTGCAACACTAGGTCCCAATCATTGGAGTGCTCATTTACAAATTTACGTATCATGGCCCCCAAAGTTCCATTAAACTTCTCCACCATGCCATTTGTTTGATGGTGGTAAGGAGTGGCAACCAAGTGATTTACCCCATGAGCTTCCCAAAGGTTTTTCATAGTTCCTGCCAGGAAATTAGTCCCTGCATCTGTGAGGATGTCGGAGGGCCAACCTACCCTGGCAAAAATGTCTGCTAGTGCCTGGCACACACTTTTAGCCCTGGTGTTGCTTAGAGCTACTGCTTCTGGCCATCGGGTGGCAAAATCCATGAAAGTCAGTATGTACTGCTTTCCTCTGGGTGTCTTTTCCGGAAAAGGACCCAGAATATCCACAGCTACTCGCTGAAATGGAACTTCAATGATGGGGACTGGCTGGAGAGGGGCTTTGACCTGGTCTTGGGGTTTTCCCACTCTTTGGCACACCTCACAAGACTGGACATAGGTAGAAACATCCTTGCCCATTCCCTCCCAGTGGAATGACCCCCCCAAACGGTCTTTGGTCCTGTTCACCCCAGCATGGCCACTAGGGTGATCATGGGCTAAGCTCAAGAGCTTGGCCCGGTATTTAGTTGGAACTACCAACTGTCTCTGAGGATGCCAGTCTTCCTGGTGTCCACCAGAAAGAGTTTCCTTGTATAAAAGTCCTCTTTCTATAACAAACCTGGATCGATTAGAAGAGCTGAGAGGCGGTGGGTTGCTCCGTGCCGCCGTCCAAGCTCTCTGGAGGCTTTCATCTGCTTCCTGTTCGGTCTGGAACTGTTCCCTTGATGCTGGGGACATCAGTTCCTCATGGGATTGTGGACCTAGGCTTGGTCCCTCTGGAAGCGATATAGGGGATGGAGCTGTTTCTGTTGACTGTGAACCGCTCTCCGCTGGTGCACTATGTTGGGATTCAGGCTCCGGCTGAGCCTCTTGGGTCGGGTTATCGGCTGCTGCCAGTTCAGGTTTGGTGGGGCCCTCTGTTGTTGAGGTTGCAAGTACTGGATTCAGTGCTGACACGGGGTCTGGTGTTGGTTGTTCGGCTGGTTCCGGTTCTGGGACTGGTTCCGTCTGGGTCTCTGGGACTGGATCCACTACTGCTGTTGCAGACATTGGCCTGGGGTCCAGGTCCATCACCTCTGACTGGGTCCTGATAGAAGTTTCCGGAACAGAGCTAGGCCTCACGGCTTGTTTAGCCTGGCTGCGGGTGACCATTCCCACCCTCTTGGCCTGCTTCACATGATTGGCCAAGTCTTCCCCCAACAGCATGGGGATGGGATAATCATCATAGACTGCAAAAGTCCACATTCCTGACCAGCCCTTGTACTGGACAGGCAACTTGGCTGTAGGCAAATTGAAAGAGTTGGACTTGAAGGGTTGAATCGTCACTTGGATCTCTGGGTTGATTAAATTGGGGTCCACTAAGGAAGCATGGATAGCTGACACTTGTGCTCCGGTGTCCCTCCACGCGGTGACCTTCTTCCCGCCCACACTCACAGTTTCCCTCCGCTCCAAGGGTATCTGGGAGGTATCTGGGCCTGTGGACCTCTGGTGTGATTCCGGTGCAATGAACTGTAATCTGTTGGGGTTCTTGGGGCAGTTGGCCTTTACATGCCCCAGCTCGTTACACTTAAAACATCGTCCAGCTGACGGGTCACTGGGGCGAGGAGGGTTGCTGGAGAATGGGGTGGTGGGAC